GGTCACATAAGAAAGGTGTGCGCTGAACGCCTGAAAGATCATGGAGGTAATGGAAATGCAGCCATTGTTCAAGATGACTTTGACTCATTTGATGTTCTTGTGGTTTCAAGGGGCGACTCGAGAAAAGAGTGGATTATGGATTCAGGTTGCACTTGGCACATGACCCCAAACAGAGAATTGTTCGAGGAGCTATGTGATCAAGATAGTGGATCTGTGCTGCTGAGAAACAACAAATCTTGCAAAATTGCAGGTATTGGATCTGTGAGATTCAAGCTCCATGATGAGTCAATAAGGTTATTGACTGAAGTCAGGTACGTACCTGACTTGAAGAGAAATCTGATTTCTCTTGGTGAATTCGACAGAAAAGGATACGTTTTTCAAGGAGAGAAAATTATGCTAAGGGTCATGAAGGGGTCGAAGGAAGTCTTAAGAGGCGTGAAGAAACAAGGCTTGTATACCCTTGAAGCTGAGGTTGTAAGTGGTTCGACAAATGTTGCATCCACGAAATCTATGTCGAAGACAGAATTATGGCACATGAGATTGGGCCATGTCAGCGAAAGAGGCCTGATCGAATTGGGGAAGCAGAACCTACTAGGAGGTGACAAAGTCGAAAAATTGGAATTTTGTGAATCTTGTGTATTTGGTAAATCCTGTAGGGCGAAGTTTAACAAAGGCAAGCAAAGAACACATGGATCCCTAGATTACATTCATGCTGATCTTTGGGGGCCTGCAAGGAATCCTTCACACTCAGGTGCAAGGTATTTTCTATCCATCGTTGATGACTATTCCAGAAAGCTATGGGTATTCATTCAGAAGACGAAGGATGAAACTTTTGAGCATTTCAAAAGTTGGAAGATTCTGGTCGAAACTCAAACTGACAGAAAGGTTAAGAGGTTGAGAACCGACAATGGCCTTGAATTCTGCAATGAAGCGTTCAACAGTTACTGTGTTGAGTCTGGGATTGCAAGGCATAAGACTGTAGCAGGTACTCCTCAACAAAATGGCTTAGCTGAGAGATTCAATCGAACAATCCTTGAAAGGGTTAGATGCATGTTGGTTAGTGCTGGATTGAAGAAGGTGTTTTAGGCGGAAGCTGTTTCGACAGCAGCTTACTTGATAAATAGATGTCCCTCGACTGCCTTGGGAATGAAGACACCTGAAGAAGTTTGGTCGGGACATCCACCTAATCTCGATAGACTGAGAGTATTTGGCTGTGTGGCCTATGCTCATATTAGGCAAGACAAGGTCGAACCTAGAGCTCTGAAATGCATGTTCATGGGATACCCTGAAGGAGTAAAAGCTTACAGACTATGGTGCCTAGAGCCAGGTCACAGAAGGTGCATCACCAGTCGAGATGTAGTTTTCAATGAAGCAGAAATGACTTTCAAGAAAACTGATGATGCTAACGAAGAGCTGGAACAGGGAGAGATTCCTGTTGAGGTGGAGCATGTTGATGCTGAATTGCTTACCCCAGATGAAGTCGAAGAAGACGCAGAAGATGTTGTCGAAGATGAGGAGACTGATACTGACTACCTGCTAGCAAGAGATAGGTCGAGGAGAGTCATCAAGCCACCTCAGAGACTTGGGTATGCAGATCTTATAGCTTATGCCTTAATCTCTGCAAGTGAGGTTCTAGACAAAGAACCTATAGACTATAAGGAAGTTATAAGGAATAAAAAGAAGACTGAATGGTTGAAGGCCATGGATGATGAGATGAAATCTCTTCATGATAAGAAAACTTGGGAACTGTGTCCCAGCACTGATGTTGAAAGAACTTATATGAATAACATTCCATATGCTAACATAGTAGGTTCTTTGATGTATGTTATGGTCTGTACTAGACCCGACATAGCATATGCGGTAAGTCTTGTAAGCAGGTACATGTCGAATCCTGGAAAGGCTCACTGGCAAGCATTGAAGTGAATTTTAAGGTACATAAATGGGTCTCTGAATAGATTCCTAATTTATGGTGGAGCCTTAGGTGAAGATAGTAAAGCAGCAATCGAAGGATATGTCGACTCTAATTACGCAGGTTGTATGGATTCCAGAAAATCTATCTCTGGATATGTGTTCACTATGTTTGGGACAACAATCAGTTGGAAAACAACACTTCAGAAGGTCGTTGCCTTATCAACCACTGAAGCGGAGTATATTGCCTTAACTGAAGTTGTGAAGGAAGCATTGTGGCTTGAAGGTTTTGCGAAGGAGCTAAAACTTCAAGGTAGAGTTATCACTGTTAAATGTGATAGTCAAAGTGCAATACACTTGTCGAAGAATTCAGCCTATCATGAGCGAACCAAGCACATTGATGTCAGGCTGCATTTCATCAGAGGGGTAATCGAGCGTGCAGAAGTCCAAGTGCTGAAGGTTTCGACAGATCATAATGCTGCTGATATGATCACCAAGACGTTGCCCAGTTGCAAGTTTTTCCACTGTATGCAGTTAATAATGCTGCATGAAGAAAGCTAGTTTCTTGACGTTATAGAGTTAGATCCAAGGTGGAGATTTGTGAGATGTTGGATCGAACTCTAGTATGGTCGAAGTCTGTTCGCGAGTAATGCGTGTTGTAGTCGAAGTTTGTTCTAACATGCATTAGTTAATATTGCTAGGGTTGTTAGCATGTTGAATTGGGCCTTACTTGTAAGTCCAATTGTTTAAGTTAGTTTGTACCCTAAATTAGCTTGTAATGGGTAATTGTTAAAAAGCCCATTAGGTTAGTGTGCTATTTTTCTTATAAATAGGATACTAGTTTCTCAATCTTGGCATAAGGAAAAATAGGAAGATAGAATCCTAATTTCAAGAGAGAGAGAGGGGTGATTTTGTTATTCTTGTATACTTGTAATCTTGTTCTAAGAGAAAGGAAAGAATATCAGTTTAATAACCAATCCTTATTGTTTTCTTCTAACTCTAACCCTAACCCTTGTGTGTTTCTTGATAACAAAGAAACCGTTTATACTTTATTTAAGGTATCCGATTCACAACAAAGAACTTTTACTTCCCTCTCTTTTTGTGCCCGTCTCTACAACCATCGTCCGCTGCCGTCAATTCTACTCCAACCACCGTACGACACCCGACCAGAACCGTATTCCTTTCAGTTCCTCTTCCTTGACCATGTAAGTGCACTAATCCTCTGTTTGTTCTTTATTTTTCCTTGTTTTGATGCTTTAGATCGCATATGGTTAGGACTAAAACAACTTAGTTAGGGCGTGTTTAGTGGTGGTTGTTGGTGGTAGACGGTGGCGCGACCATCTGTTTGCCGCCGCCGTCGTAGCTTGTTCTTTTAGGAAATGCAAGTTAACAACCGTTAGGTTTATATAATTCGTGGTAGGGGAACCATAATTGCGTCGTTCTTAGGCTATTACAACTTTTAGTGGTTTCCCTGTGAGGCCACTGGGCTTTGTGGCCAGGGGCTACCCCCCGGATGGTTTAGATAGAACTGTCAGGAACCTTCCCCGTTTGTCTAGCTGCGCCATTTGAGTAGGGCTTAGGTCGAGGATGATCTTCTTCGGGCCTTTGCGGGCCCTTTCACTTGACTAGCAGTGAAAGGGTGGATTTGATTTTGCCATCAAATTCACTGTTTTCCTCTACTTTTCAGGTAAAAGAGATGTCGCGCAGGGAAGAAGAAGAGCATCTTAGAGATTCATCCGAGGATAGATCCTCGGAGAGTACGGATACAGATGATAGTTCCTCGTCTTTAGAGGACGTGAGGACGTCTATTGCATTATCGCTGGTGGACAAGTGGACCGTGGTTGAGCCCATATAGCACACGTATATCTTCGCTTCTTATACCGGGAACATTGGAGTAGAATGACAGTAATTTAGGATTTTAGAGCATTAGTATTGGTAGGTATTGGCCAAACAAACCTTTAGATTATGACAGAACAAAAATTATGAGATGTTGAATGAATCAAAAGGTTACATTACATGCCTTAATGTATTCTTGAAAGTATGTGGAAATATCATTCATTATGCTTTATTAATCTTGTACATTATTGAAAATTTTCTTTAAATTATCAATTTAAAATATCTATGATGCATAGGTAAGGATATTGAACTTGTAATGGTCTTATAAAAGCATTCATAATTATTATATTTATTGTTACTATTTTAAATATATCTCTACTTTTTCACATTTTCATATTTTTAATGAAATTTGAAGAAAAAAAGTAGAAGTGAAATTAATAAGAGAGTAAAATTTAAATGCACTTAAATATTTTTTTATAAAGAGTGAGTTTTTTTTTAAATTTAAATTGTTTATATTTAAGACCGAAAAGAGTATTGTATAGTAATTTGAAAACCTAATGCAAGAAAAAAAATTTTAAAAGGATGGAGAATATTTTATTTTGGAGGGATATTTATAATCAACTATCAACCCTTCAAAATTCAATTGCATTAATTTCCATAGTAGCAGTGGTATTGTTATTTTTATCATGAATCAATATTTTAAGACCTATCTAAAACCGGACTTAAATAGTAATTTTCAAACTCATATTATAATATTTTTTTTTAGCACAATCCTAACAAAACTAAAAAGCCCGCAATCTCAAAGACAGGTGCACCACTTACCTTTTCCGGTTGTATTTTTATTTCAATATTCATTTACTTCGTTCCCTCAATCTCATTTCATTTAAGATTCACTTATTTATAAGTTTCTCTATTTTTTTCATTTCAATGACCTTTCAGATTAGGAAAAAAATCAAGGACTATCCAAAGTTATAAACAATACCCTTCGGTTGTTCTGTCAAATTAAAAACTTCCATTTATTGCAAAATAACACATTAAGCAATGTGATTTTTAACTCTCAGTACGAACATTATTATTATAAGCATCAAATAAGTAGAATTTAGGTTTGAGATATGTATGGGCTAAACATCGGAGTTGGTGTTTCAAATTGTAACAATCTAGTCTTCCACATTATCAATAATACAAAATGATCTGAAGTTTTCAAAATCTAGTCTTCCTCTTATTTCTTACATATATACTAGTACAACCAAATAATATCAAGATTGCATCAAGTTCATACCAAATTGCAATGAGGGAAATGGAAAGTGTTGTTCAGGTGATGTGCCGAGGAGGAAATCGACCTTTTTTGAGAAAGGAAAGAGAGTATTCAGCAGCATCAATTAGGTCAGCAATGTTATGCAAAGAGCGTTCGTCAGAACCAACCCAAAACATTGCATGTACCTTCGCTTTTATGGCTAGTCTAGAGGCAAAATTCAGTGGCAACAAAGGAGAATTCAGGCTTCTCAGTGTCTGACGATATAGCGACAGAACTCGACCCCTATTCCGATTCAAATCCTCTGTCGTCGCCCATATCAAACCCTTTCTCATTCTGCAACACAACAAAATAGTTGAATAGAAATTAAAAACAATGCATCATATTGAAATTAGATATATTGAACTTCAAACCTGCTTATCATAAAAACTCACTGTGCGATGATGATGTTAAGCTTTTTGTTGCGGTGAAATTTGGATGTCAAGCTATTGATTAACTTGAATCTTAATTCATTTACAACCGTCTTTGATTTATCCGAAGGAAAGGTTAAAGAAAGTAAAAACCTATTTTTGCATTGTAAACACAATGCGGGGAGAGATCTAAGGTTCGGGGGTTGGTTAAGCTTAGGGAAGGTATTAGCACCCTAAACTTCTCTAGTACTCTACAGGAACCTCTTGTTTTAAGTGCTTCTATTGCTAAGTTATCTGCTTAAAGGTAATGCTAAGGGTTAAAAGGAAAGAGAAGAACCTAAGGGTTAGTCCTAAGTATACTTGCCAAGACGTCGCATCTTGTGCCTACATATCCTGACGGGGATGAAATCAGAGTATTTGTAGTTCCCCTCGAAAGGGAGGTAGGGAACTTCTTGACTGTGGTCAAGGTTCCAAGGGGAAATAAACGTTCATAGGGAAGCGCTTATTTTGGAGTGCGACAACTCCGATTCCTACATTATAAGGTTTAGTTAAAAGGGTGTGAGATAAGTATTCCACGGCGGGAAGCTTATATGGAGTACGGCGACTCCTAGTCCTAAGGCTAGGATGGGTGAAGGTAGAAGTATTGACTCAGCGGTCAAACATGTGTAACCTTTTCTTCGGAGGGGAATGCGATAAAATAAAGCGGTGATAATTGAAATGGAAATTGATATACGAGGTGTGATTAATGGGAGTGGTGGAATTGATTTTAGTTTAAGGAATTAGAGATTAAGGTTAAATATTTTTGAGAATTTTAATGACTAAGTTGAAAATATGCTTAAAAATTAAATTAATTCGTAAATTTATGTATTTTTATGATTTTATTTTGTGAGTTATGCAATTAGGACTTTTTAAATAAAGTGTTTGAAATTTATAGTTCATTTTGAATAAAAAGGTTATTATTTTTAAGAAGAAAGATTAATTAGCAAAGACTAAATAAATTCTAAAAAATTCTACTTTACTTAAGTTAAATTAGTTAATTATAAATTTGAAATAAGTTTCTCTTGGGTTTCTAATCTACATATGTTTTTATGAATTTTGAATATACTGTAAAAAAAAATTAAATTATAATCAAATCTAAACACATTATTTAATATTTAAAAGATTTGAATTAATTATAAATTTAAACTTAAAATATTTACTATTTTTGATATTTGTTTTTATATTTTTGATTCCTTTTAATCTCAGATTTTTTAAAATTTAGAGTTAGTGTTAGTAATGTTAGTAGGTTAATAATTTTATTATTATAATTAAAGTTACAAAACAAAATATAAAAAAACAAACAGAGACATAAACAGTTGGGCCTGAGTTGATGAAATCCCATGGACCCAAACGACCCGGATTGAAAAGAAGGGAAAGAAGGGTCAGAAATTTCTGAACCCTAGCACCTAAATCGAGCGGCGGCTTCTCCCCTCCATATTTCCTCCTTCCATCTCCGTCTTCCTCTTTCTTATTCTCTCAATTTCTTTTCTTCAACCGTTCTTCCTCTCTGCTTGTGTTCCTCACCCTATTTAACACACACAAAAAAACATTAATAGACACAAATGCTCACCGAAATAGCGATTCAAAGCGACGAGGGGTGTTTGAGCGGAAGCTTCGCGGCGGTTTGATGGAGGCAGGAGAAGTCAAAGGTGACGGTTCTGGCGTGTGGTGGCGATTTGTGGTGAAGATAAAAGATAAGTTCCTGTTGCGGTGAAAATCGGATATCAAGCTATTGAATTAACTTGAATCTTAATTCTTTTACAACCGAACTTTAATTTATCCAAAGGAAAGGTCTAAAGAAAGAAAGAACCTTTTGCGCGATGTAACAACTACGCTAAGAGATTCGGGGGTTGGTTATGCATAGGGTAGGTATTTCACATCCTAAACATTTGTAGTACTCTACAGGAACCTTTTGTTTGTTTGTATGCTAAGTTTGGTAAATATTTGCTAAGGTTGGGATTGGGTAAATAGATAGGGTATGATAGATGAAGACCTAAGATTGTTTCTAAGTTTGCTCGCAAAGACATCGCGTCCTCTGCCTACGTATCCTTACTAGGATAGAATCAGAGCAATCGTAGTTCACCTCACAAGGGTTGAAGAACACTTGATTACGATCAAGGTTCCAAGGGGAACAAACATAACGATGTTTGTGTAGAGTTTTCCAAAACTCTCTATGTCTATGTTGTAACACTCAAAGGGGGAAGTAAGTGATCATATCCATGATCCTTACATAGAGTTAACAAACTCTAACCTAGGGTTCTAGTTGAAGAATACTCCTAGTGAGGGGGAAGATTGCTCGTCAAGATATCGCATCTTGTGCCTACGTATTCTCATTATCCAATGAGAAATCAGAGCAGTCGTAGTTCGGGCTCGAACTACAGAATAAGGATCAATTGGTTCTTTCCAGACCAAAAGAGGGGAAGGTTCTATCCAGACCTATGAGTTTATATCCTATTGGTTCTATCCAAACCAAAAGGGGGGTTAAGGCTCTTTCGAGGCCTATGAGGGTATTGAGCTATCTATGACCCAAGGGTCAATATAGAGACTTTTCCTTTGGAAGGAGAGAGAAAGGAGGCAACTTGGATGAGAACTAGAGAGTTCCATCACTTGGGGAAAAAAATACTTAACAACGTAATCAAGGATTATGGTTACAACCAACAAGCATGCATATTAAAATAAGTAAGGATTTAAATCAAGATAAGAGGTTACAACCAAGAATGAATGTATCTTAACAAAGATGAAAGCATATCTTAACAAAGATTTAAAGGAATATCTTAACAAAGATTAAAGGTATATCTTAACAAAGATAGAAGGTAACAACCACATGTATTGATGACAATCATAAACAAGTAAATCAGTTTAACCTCATAATTTAGGAGGAAAGTAATACGAAATCATGGTAACAACCAAAGAAGAGTACCCTAGCATGTTAACTAACATGTGAGGTTGAGAATGAGTGAATATCATAACACAAATGATCATGGTGAAAAAGAAATTCATCTACATACGCGAGATAACGATCTCAATATAAAGGAAACTTGCAAGCAACCAAAAGGCATGAAAATTTGAACAAACATGGAATTTTTAAAAATATCACATGAAAGTAGGCATCAAGACAAACACAATGCAAAAATAATGGGTTCAAAATGTTTAAATATGAGTGAGTTATGAATTTTCAAAGATTGGATGAACAAAACATGAAAATCTAAATGATAAAAGGAATAAAATGCACATGGTAAGACAATGAATCAAACAAATTTGATTATTTAAACATGTTAACAAAAATTTAAGAATAATACAAGATCAATCTCACAAGAAAAATCAAGTTACAAGTTAAAAATTTTCAAGATCATCATGGTAAAAAAAAACAGTCATGGTAACATGTGGAATGCAAGTGGAAAGTTCACATTTATGAGTTTTAGGTTTACCTCTTGAAGCAAGCTTAAGCAATAAGAAAACCAGAGATCTTGAGAGCTCTTCCAAGATCTTGTTACATAAGTGTGCAAGTGACTTGGATAGCTTCAATACATCATACTTTATGTGTTTGAAGTGTTTCTTGAGTTGGAAGAAGTTTGGAAATGGTTTTGAAAGGTGTTTTTCAAAAGCAAATTTTGAGGGATTTTGGAAACTTAATGAGATTTTGTAAGAACTTGTGATTGTGTAAGGAAGAAAGTTCTAGCTGGTTTCTAGCATGGAACTTGTGTATTTTTGATGTAGGAAGTGAGTTCTATTTATAGCCAAAGGCCTTGGATCAAGGTATGGGCAAAAGTGAAGCAAATTGTCAATTTTAACCTTCCATCATGAAAATCTTTGAGTTTTCCAATGAAATCTTCACCTTTATCTTTAAGCCACTCTACTAAAATATTCCCCATGCCTTATAGATTTTTCATCATGCTTCATAGGATTGGAGGTGACTTGTTGAATTAAAGTTGATGATTTAACAATGGTAGCCACCTTTTTTCTCTTTCTTCACTATTCACTTTTGCAACTTGCATTAAATAATTATTTCCTTTGATCTTTGTGCCATTTTCGTGGGAATTGATGTAAAAATGTTAATTATCAATATAAACATCATAAATGAGGCTTAGTCTTTAATTAGAATCGATTTGGGGAGGTTTTGGAATAAAAAAAACTCATGCTGACCTGGTTTTTCTAATATGAGTTTTTGCCAACTTGTGGACCTTGGTTCTCTCTAACCAGGAAGAGTTATGGAACCCACTTGTACTTTTTAAAAATCCCCAATTAGGTACTACAATATTGATGCTTGTGTTAGGAACTCATTCCTCTTGAAACTAGGTCAAAAACCCTTGTGTGGTTAAGGAGTTATGACTTTGCCCTTTTCAAAACCTTAATTTCCCGATTTTTCGATTACTCCTCAAACCTTGATAAAATGGTCATGAAAATTTATGGGCAAGTGTAATATATCATAAGGAACATTTTTTATTCCCATCATTAAGTCCAAATCCTTAAGATTAAAGAGTTGACTTTTCAGTCAACCGTATGATCGATCGACGATTATCGGATCATCTGCTCATGTTTCGGGGCTTCCAAGAACTTGAAACTCCTTGAGGGGACTTCACTAAGCCATATGAACTTTTTGAACCACAATTGTATCCTTGAATTACTTCTCAAATTGAGAGTCAAACCACAGTTGACTTTTCCAGCCCGAAAAACCCTAATCGGGCGTCCTGAGCTGCACTGCACCTCATTTGTGGGTGATCACCTCAAATTGAACTCATACATGGCTCAATGTGGTATTCTTGATCTTATTTCATAAATGATTCAACCCAAAATATTGGTTGACCAATCCTTGAAGCTTCGATTTTATCGGTACGGAGCCCTTATTCACTTGTATCTTGACAAAGACACACTTTGAAACTTGTTAA